AATAAAAATTCAATAAAATATATATAGAATAAATAGTATCTATTACTATTTATTTAATAAGGTAGCTGTGCAATACAGATACAAAGTTCTAATTAAAATTATTTACTTATAAGTTTCTTTATGAAGCTTAATATTAATATTATTCAGCTTAATATTCAATAATTTATTATATTAAGAAGTCTGCTCATGGAGCATGAATATATATATTATTCCTAATATTTATTTCAAATCTCAAGTTTAGGAATTAAATGATTCAAAGGTCATAACACATTTAACATTACTAAAATATTTGTATAGTACCCTTTGAGTACTTTTAATTCATCAGGAAAACTGGATTTACGATATAATATTATTATTTCTGATTCTTAAAAATAAAATACAAAAATGTGTTTACGTTAATAAATCATTGTTAGTTAAAGCCAAAAAGATCCCATGATTTTGCGGTCCTGCAGAACTGCAAAATCATGTAATAATACTCTAATCTTCACATCAAAGATTCATCGAATTTGGAAGTTTCATGACTGGCTTTATTGTTGTTCAGAAGATTTTTTAGGAACTGATTGTACTTTTCATTTTCTTCTCTCATTAGATAACTAGCCGTAAGGCCAGATTCTATGAGAATTGATACATGACAATGTATTAGGTTGAGTAATTCTATAAGCCACCACATTCCTACCCAAAATCTTCGCTCCTGTTTTTCTTCAATATTTAAAAATGTTTTTATTTTTTCTTTAACAAAACCACGCAGGGTTTTATGGGTTGGAAGTCTTCTTGTGTTTCGTTCGTATTCATTTGCTAACGTTACGAGTAATGATAGATATGCTCCTCTAAGTTCATACAACATTTTTAGCATTCTCTCTTCAACTCTAGTTTTTGTTAAGAAAAGTTAATTAAATTGTGATGCTCATTCCTTAAAATAATCCTCCAATAATTTTATATTTGTTGAGTAAGAAAGTAATGGTGGTAGGAAACAATTAATAACTTCATTATCATTAAAATGGTCGTTCAAATCTGTGACTAAGAGATTTTTTATTGATCTGCTTTTTGAAAAAAGTCTATCTTTATCTACTATTAATTGACTATTTTTATAATTCTAAAGTTATTTTTTAAAAGAAGGGCCTTATTTTTTTCAAATCTATTAAAGATTTCTGTAAAATTTATTTAGGTATTAATCTAACTAAACTTTCAAGTAGCTTTTGAGTAAATTATCTTTTGCAATAAGCCTACCACTTGTTTGCAATTCTTCGCTATTTGATGATATTGATTTATGCTCTAATCATAATAGAATTTATATTAATTTGTAATTTTGAATATGCAGGTTTGAAAAATATATCTACTAACATACCATCAAGATCAGCTTCAGTCAGAGAATATTGCATTCTTTGTTTTCCCTTCTTGTTATTTGATACATCTGAGTTTTTCCTTTTTTTTATTTCTTTTTAAAAAAATTTATCAGCAAAAAATTGTCTTTGTTAAAAAAATTTAACTAAAATTTCTTATCTGATTATTACCGTGTAAAAATTCAGTATTATCTGTAGTAGTAGCAGTAGAAAATGAATCGCTAGATTGTTCTATAACTTTTGTACTTGAACTATTCTTTTGTTTGAAATTTTATTATTAAATAATATTAATATCATAGCATTTAATAGTATCACCAAACAATAATTTGCAGCAGTAAAAAAAATTTCATACTGTATCGACACTTTCAATTAGGACATATGGATATTGTCGAATATCATTTTCTGTTTCGTATGTATGCTTAAATAATAAAAATAGTTAAACATCTTACTTGCCAAATTTACTATTGAAAATGTTGACTCATTACCTGATAATGCATTAATACATCTGATGAATTTTTTTTGGTAATATTTGGTGGTGGGGTAGATGACTCTTGACCGTTAATAATTGATAAAATTGCAAGTACATCCTTAATTAAGATAGTGAAAGAAATAAGTATAAAAAGAAAAAGGGTAAGCTAATAATAACGTTACTAACATTTCTATTACTTCCTTCAATACTTGTTTCAGTATCAACAATTTTAGGATGTAAAAGGTTTGTTTCTTTACTAGGATGGCTGCTTTGTGTTACAGACGGTTTCTAGAAATTGTTTCATTAGTATGTAATGATCATTAGTAAAACTAACATATTTATAATATTTACCAATATTTCATTAATGCTAGGTAAGAAATCTTCTTCTGTCAAATTTGAAGGAACTCTTTCTATAAAGTTGTTAACAGGTTCATCGATAGCCTTTAGATAATACAAAATGGTTTAGAAATATTAAAATTGACGATGAATGTTGTAAAGTATATATTGAGTATATCATAATCATGTAATATTTATTCACTTTATCAACTTTTCCAATTTTAGAATTATTTTTTTCAATTTTATTTTTTGAAGCTTTAAATTGGTTATTTATTTGGAATTTGTACTTATTGCCAGAGTTACTTTTTGTTAACCTTGATGTT